TTCCTAATGTCATTTGTACTCTAATGTCATTTGTACTAAATCATTCACTTGTACTCACTAAAGGAGAGCTTGAACCTATGTACTTGTGTAAACCCTTCACAATTAATGAGAACTCTTCTATTCCGTGGACGTAGCCAATCTGGGTGAACCACGTACATCTTGTGTTTGCTTTCCTATCTCTATCCATTTATATACTTATCCACACTAATGACCGGAGCAATTTAGCGAAGATCACAAAAAGCGACCGTTTTCGCTACCTAGGATCTATCTTACAAAGAACGGAGAATTAGATGGAGATCTCAACCATAGAATACGAGCTTGATGGATGAAGTGTAAGAGTGCATCCAGCATGTTGTGTGACCGTCGTAGGCCACTGAAGCTCAAGGGAAAATTTTATAAGACGGCAATAAGGCCAGCGATGTTGTATGGCACAGAATGTCAGGCGGTGAAACATCAACACGTACACAAAATGGGTGTAGCAGAGATGAGGATGCTTCGTGGGATGTGTGGGCACACGAGAAAGGATAAGATTGAGAATGAGGATATCCGAGGTAAAGTAGGAGTAGCCGAAATTGAAGGAAAGATGAGAGAAAATCGGTTCCGGTGATTTGGACATGTGCAAAGAAGGCCGACTGACGCTCCGGTTCGAAGATGTGACTACGGGACAGAGGTTCAGGGCCGAAGGGGTAGAGGAAGACCTAGGAAAACTTTGGAAGAGACTCTAAGAAAAGGCTTAGAGTACTTGGATCTAACGGAGGACATGACACAAAACCGAGCGCAATGGCGTTCTAGGATTCATATAGCCGACCCCACTTAGTGGGAAAAGGCTTTGTTGTTGTTGTTGTTGTTGTTGTAAATAGATACACATATTAATTATTTATTTAATTCCAAAAAAGGCACGCATAAATTGCCACGTGTCATTCCTACGCGGTCTCTTTCTCTCTCTCTCTCTCTCATTTGTAGCTTCTGTATATATGTACCATGTACGTACCTCGTTGGCAAACAAAGACATACATCAAAATCTCAATCATCAAACTTTCGAAAAGCTGCAAGCTTTGTCATCATGTCTACAGCAATGGTAATCTCTGCTCTTCACTCAGCTCTGCCACCGCCGCGGCGTTTCAATTCCAGCGTTAACCGAAAGACGGGGTTGCTGGAAATGCGGCGTAGGCGTCGTCCTCTGACGATTTCTGCGTCGTCGCGTGGTCATGATAATTACGACGGTAGACTTGTGGACGAGGACATGATTGTGCTTGGAATGCGAATTCACGAGGTGGAGATGGAAGACGAAGACAATCACCAACCGCCGTCGAACTGGATGCAGTGGGAGAAGCAATATTATGCACACTACAACTCGGACATCAGCGAAGGCGTGGGGTTGTTGCAATCCCATTTGATGAACACCAGGCCTAGCGTGGCGTTGGGAATGCTTGCTCTTGTTATACTTAGCGCCCCAATATCCACGGCTGCTTTGATGTTCCGATTGCTGGACATTTTTAAGGGGATCTTAGGCGGTGGGAATATTCACTTTTAGTCCATGTATGCATGGCTTCATTGCCTTCTGTAAATAGATAAACATATTAATTATTTTCTTAATTAATTAATTTCTTGGAAAATTGTTCACTCATATAGCTATATCGAATTAATTTATTAGTTATGTTTCATTATCGAGATAACTTGTCGCAAAGTTTTTGCACATGCAATACAATCAAATTTCAACACACAAAATCTTAACTAGTTATTAATTTAAGGGAGACTTTGGATGCGGTCCCTAGTTATGAACAATTTTTTACTGAAACCTTGTTGTTTTTCAATTTTTGATCCAAGTCCCTAAAATTAATTGATAATTTATTTCTATGTACGTTACTATATTTTTTAAATTAAAAATTAAAATTTATAGTTGTTTATAGTAATGAGATTTTAAATAAAAAACCATAATTTGTGGGATTAAAAATATTAAAATATAAATATACTATTGTGTGTGTGTGTGTGTGTGTAAACATGGGTACATTCATAAAAAATAACCAAAATATTATTGTATCAAAACATGGGTACATTCTTCAAAATGGGTACATTTAGCAAAAATAAAAATGGGTACAAATAAATAAAAAAATATGGGTACAATACAAATAAAACTTTAAAAAATATGGGCACAAAAAGAAATTAATATATGGGTACAAATTAAAATTGAAAGGAAAATTGGTACAAATTAAAAAAGGGTTGCAAATTAAAAATGGGTACAAACTAAAAATAAAAATATATGATAAAAAATTTAGCCATAAATATAAATATACTAATTGTAACATTTTTAATATTAAATGAATATATTTAGAAATAAAAAATATTTTATTATTGAAATAATGAATGATATTATTAATACAAAGGACTTTGATCAAAAATTGAAAAGTAATAAGGTTTTAATCAATAGAGTAGTAAAAATAAGGATGAAAACCTAATTACTCCTTAATTTAATGGTATTTCTTCACACTAAAAAAATTCCTAAATTTAAATTCCCCACCCTCATTCATCAACTAACATTTTATGGGCTCTTGAAATCATCATTAATTCCAAAAGAATTTTCTTGGTTTGCTACGTTTTTGTATTTCCTGGTGGGTTTTGCTGCTGTTGCAGGAGTTACAATGTGCTTCAACTAACTAGCTTCCTCAATACTATTAGGTACCGTTTGGTAAGTGGGACGGGACGGAACGGAGTGAGACGAGGCGTTTCGTCCCATGTTTGGTGCGCCTAAAACGGGTGGAACACGCTGTTCCATGGGACGAATTTTTGGTGAATTTTCGTTCCACCTCACCCCCTGGAATGACTAGTTCCACATCCATGGAACACAAGATTATAATATTTCCATCTTCTTCTTCTTCCTCCTTGTTTCCATCCGAGGACATCTTTGCTCCCTCTCCGTTCCGTTCCGTCATGTCTCGTCCTATCCCGTCTCGTCTCGTCTGCATACCAAACGATACCTTAGGGTTGTCCTCATTCTCAGTTAAGCTACCCTTAATTAACCAGTATATAATAAAGGCAATGGTAACGAGACTATTTCAAAAGGAATTGTTATTGGCACTCCAAATTCCTTATTCTACACTTCAAACTTTCTATATTTATAAAGAAAAATACACTTACGAGGAGAGTAGAATGAAATTTTTTGAGTATCAATAACACTTCCCATTTCAAAAGTGAGACTTTTTATATGCATTCTGCCACCTCATATTTTTAGAACAATATTTTATAACATTGTCCCGTGAATTGATGTAAATTGTGAGGTGGCAGAGAACTTACAGAGAGTCCCACTATAGAAAGTCTCATCAGCACTTCTCATATAATAAGAGAATAATGCTAGGTAATTAACTTATTTCTTTTTCACCATATGAGGTACGGAGATATATAGAATAATGTTATACATTAAATGTTTGATAAAAAAAAAATTATAGACTAAATATACATACTAAATGATGTGTTACTAATACAAAATAAGTACGTTAATTGACATTTGAGTTATAATTAAATCATCAACTTTTATATATTTTTAATTTATAAATTTTATCTATAAATTTAATCTTCTTGTTATTACACGATGAAGGTAAATCAGACACTAAATGAATTGAGAGGAACTGAAGAGCCAAACATTGCTCATAAGTACAAATATAAGCGGCCGCCCAAGTCAACCCAATTCTACTCCGGTGGTTCCCCCCAGGTAAACTGCCAATATCATCCCCAATGATTTACAATATAATAAACGAAAGATCCTTTCATTTGTTCTTATATTCCAGGAAGGTTTCTCTGAAATGAGATGCATGCATGTTCGGTAAATGTAACTTCCAGTTCTCGACTCCCTGTCCAAGCTTTTTTAATTTTTATGCATGATAAGATACAAGCAAATCTGTTAAAATTATTAAAAATTAAATCGTAATTGTTGTATTGATCAAGAGGAATATCGATGACATATTAGTTAAATATTGTTAATATAGCTTATTATTGACAATATAACAATCAAACGTCAGTGACATTTTAAAAACCGACGAATTCATTGAGTGTCGGTGACGGAGTTAGAATTTTTAAATAATAATGTCTTGATTTTGACCAAAAAAACCTCGTTAGACCATTTCATCAAGCACCTGGTCTGAAGATGTCGAGTCTTGTTAACATTATTTGAAGGCTTATGCTAACATATGTTAACAACTACTATACTAAGATATGTAGAGGTTTATCAATGGTGGCTACAAAAAACTGTAGAGTAATATTGAAAACAACAAAAATTTGTCAACTGAGGCATTTCATCGAACAATTGGTGCACACAATAAAGTCACACACAAGAAAAAAAAAATGGATGACAAAATAATATAAGGAGAAGTAAGAGAAGGTTTTAATTTTTTTTTTGCCCTAACCGTTTATAGGATAAAATACAATACACATATAAATACATAAGTTTTTTTAAATTGTTATAATAAACTACCAATGATTTCATGCTGGATCCATTTAGACGTTTGGTATTTAAAAAATGATCATTTAATGATTTTTCTAAGCCTTAACGCTTTTCTTGATTAAATCAGAGTCGTCGATTAAAAAAGTGCATCAAATTTGACATATACTAAATTGGCAGCACAAGATTAAAGTCTGGTTATCCGTACCCCACAAGTCTCACTCTGTGTGTGATGTGACAGGAGTTAAACTTCCCGAATTTCTGACGTAAATAGCGCGTTGAACAAGCTAAGTGTCCCTTAAAATATAAAAACACGTTAAGCCTCCATCTCCATTTTCCCAGTTTCTTAGCTAATAAGCTGTGTCACATGCCCCACCGCTTTTTCTCCCTAATCTAGAAAATTAGAACCTTTATCTCTTCAATTATTAGTCTATTATTATTATTATTTTAATTGTTAATTTATTGGCACTACAATTAGGCCTATAAATGTGGGCGCATCCACCACAAAATACCATATCAAATTTCAAGTACACCAATCTTTTCCATTTCTCAATCACCGTAGAAAGCAATGGCAGCAATTTCACTCATTTCTTCTTCTTCTTGTTCCAACATTCTTTCATTTAATCCGATTTCCAGCACGACCCGAAACCAAATCCGGAAGGTTTCTTCAACTAGGGTTTTTGCGTCGAGCAGAAAAGGAGGTGATCATGCAGACCAGTACTACCAAAACTACAGCAGCAGGCTGGTGGACGAGAGCATGATTGTTCTCCGGAAGAGAGTTCACGAAATGAAGATGGTGGAGAGAAACTACGAGCCTCCGTCGGATTGGATGGATTGGGAGAAGCGATATTACACCACCTACGATTCGTTTATATGCCAAGTCATGGGCTTCTTGCAGTCCCACTTGATGGACACAAGGCCAAGTTTTGCTTTGGCATTCCTGGCTTTGATCGTTTTGAGCGTGCCTACTTCAACGCTTATGATTTTCTTCCAACTGTTGGAGCTCGCAAAGGGGGTCGGTCTTCACTAGCGGCTATATATATTAATTTGTTTGTATAAATACATAGACATGTAGGTTTCCAAATTAATGATATATAAGTTCTTTCATCAAAATTTTCAAGGAAGTTTTGGTTCTTCTCGTTTTTTTTCATCAATAATCATATTAGAGGCAAGTGATATACAACCCATGAATCTAGTTAGTTTACAAGAAAGTAATTTTCGCACGTTTAACTTATAACATAAATCAAATTAAGATATACAGATGCTATCTCCGCACATTTTCTTGACTTCCACACCCGAACAAGAAAATGCCACTTTTGTAGCATATGACAGTAAAATGTGAATTAGAAGGATCATTAGCTGCATTTTGGATCCACCCACTATACTTTTGACAACTTTTTAACTAAAATATACATCCTGAAATTGATATAATTATTCACTTTAGGCCCTAACAGTAAAAATTATAGAAGTGATTTTTGAGTTTGTCCACCATTAATCATTTAATTTAGTCATTATGTGAAAAAATTCTCAATATCCCTGTTAAGTGGAGAGAATATTGATTTAACAAAAGTACTCTTAAAAAAGTGGTACGCGTTTGTTCACTAGACAATTTAACGAATATATAGACAGATTTTTCACGGAATGACCAAAACGATCTACGGCCAGGCCTAGTGTGGGTAGGGCGACCATCTGGGGCCCAAAAAAATTAGGGGCACTAAAATGATTAGGGCGGTATATTTACATATGTTTTTAAAAGAGTATAAATTTATAAAATTTTGTTTAGTGACAAAGAAATTTGACTGGAATTGGTGGTTTTGTTGTTTAAAATTAATGAAGAGGTCTTAGGTTCAAAACACCATGTGTGCTTATGTACATTCCAATTTTTACAAATTTCTTTTCCATAACAGTATAAATTATAAAAATTGGCTAGATGATCAAGAGGTTTAATTAGAAGCAATGGTTTTTGTTGTTTAAAATTAACGAGAGGTCCTAAGTTTGAAATGCTATGTGCATGTTTATTGTTTTCAATTTTTACAAATTTTTGTTTGGTTGTTAATTTATTTACTAGCTAGTAGTTATGTGGGTTGCTATTTTTACACATCCATTCCAATTCAAGTCTAATATTCGACAAAGAGTAATGCGTAGACTAAATTTTTAGACCAAATTTGCAAATAATATTACGTGTCATCAAAATGTTTAATTTAGTGTTCATTCATTTCTTATACATATCCTTAAAGACTCAAAAACATTATTATTATTGTAGTCTTATATTGATGAGGTTAGTTTATAAGAAAAAATACCTTATGATTTATACAAAAACATTTTAAAAGTTCAGATGTAAAACAAAACTCATAATCTATCTACTTGTAAGCCCAAAGTTTTGGGTTTCCTTCTCTCAATACAAAATAAAATAGTTATTCCGTGTTTCTAAATTATTGAGTTTGAAGTGTTTTTCTAAATATAATGTTATTGATATCTTACGTGTGAAAACAAATAATTTTTTTATATGAAGTAAGGGCACATTTTTTGGCGTTACCCCAGACCTCAAAAATCTCTGGACTGCCCATGTCTACGGCAGATAAATTCAGAAATTTCTTCTATCGATTTTCATTGTAATATATCATGTGAAATTATACTAATATAAAAAACTATCTTAACTGAAAAGAAACCCAAGTGTGGGCATATCCCTTTGATCAGTTTGAATCTGCGCGTTACAGTTCATCTATATTGGACGCTTGAGTTGGGGCTGCTGGGAATGATTAATCATTATTAAGCACAAGCAGACGTCGTCGTCATTATTGTGGGCCACTCAATTTTTTATTTTTTATTTTGTATTGTTTTAGTTTTTGGTTGACACTCAAATTTTAATTAATTTTCAATAAAAATGTACATTTTTTTTGAAATGATTGAGGAATTGCCGTGGATGCGCACAAACTAAACGGCGAAAACAATTCCATAACCTTGACTGATTTATTTTCTATTATTAGATTCCAATCAATTGCAACGATCTTGAAATATTATTGAATAAAATAACTACGACTTGAAAGTCCTATTATTTAGAGAGAACTCGGATCAACATATACAAAAATTATTTAACCAATGCGGAATGTTTTATATAATTGTAAAAAAAAATTTGTGCGTCCAAAATACAAAAAGGTATTCTATATATTACTATACCGTAAAATAAAATAAAAAATCTCAAGTGTTTATCAAATTTTATATTAACATGTGTATTGCTCCGTATTTCAGACATATTAAAACATTTATCCTAAAATTGTTTAATATTTTTTATTATAATTAGAGGCATAAAATGAGTGGCAAAAATAAATAAATAAATATGATACCTTCTCAAACAACATGAGAGGCATAAAAATGGTCCCGCTGAAAAATGGCCTTGTAAAGATTGACGAGCAACCAACAGTATTATGATTGCTTCAACAATTTCTAAGACAATAGATGCTAATTTTTAACCATCTTAATTGTTAAAGGGGAGAAAAGCATCTATCTATAATAAATCAGCTAACTTCAAAGTTCCGGAATTGGATACTCTCCTGATCCGCTTTGTGAGATCTGAAAGATCAATCGATCGTATTCATTTATTGTATATCGTACGGTTAAAAATTATTTTAAAATTTTAATTTAAAATTAAATATAAATAATACTTAACGAAAACTAACCATACAATGTACAATAAACAGACATGATTGATTGATCTCCAGATCATGACAAACAGGATCTAGAAAGGATGCTCGTCCCAAAGTTCCAAAGGAACGAAAAAGAAATTAACTTTGTAGGTTCTATCTATATGATGAAGCTGCTTGATTAAATATAATTAAATTTGTAATCAAATAATTAAACACTGCTCTTCAATCTTCAATTATTCATTAATCTAATATATACTAATTAATAAAACTCTCTTTGTCAACCAAAAGATGATGAAAAGATAAATTAGTCTTCTATCACAAAAAAAAAATAATGAGCAATAATGTAATTTTACATGTCCAAATTTTATTATTTTTTATTAAAACCTCACATACAGATAATGTTAAAATACATTCAATATTAAAATTAAAAAAAAAAACAAAAGCAAAAAAACCTCTCATTCCCCACATTCTCTCTATCTCTCCCTCTCTCCTTCTCATTTTCTCTATAAAAAAAATGGGCGCATACACATTTGCAAATGCTATTATTTTATTATAATTGGAGCGATTGAACCATCAGTTAATTAAAAACAAGTCACCATTTAAAAAATATAAATTGGGGTTACTAGCCCTTCAAATCCACCAATTAAAATTAGCCCTCATCTTGAAAACAATCTCTACAAACATTTTTTTAACAAAAGTACTTATAATGTTGTATCAATAATCTACCAGTATTGCGTCAAACATATATTAATATTATTTCAGTAATGGAAATATTTTTGTCAAAGATAACGAGTAGATTTTGCATTTTAAAAAGGGCTGGGTTTGTGAAGGGGCTACTAAGCCCAATTTATCCAAAAAAGAGTCGGTTTTATGCACACAAGTTCATCTTTTGACACACATCACTTTCATTTCAAATAAAAATTTACACACATATAAAATTTACCCCAAAAGACTTAGTGGTTTAAAATTATGGAACTTTAACGAAAAGCTCTCGGTACCGTTTACTTTAACAAAAAAAAAACCACATTTTTACACTAAAAAGTCAATTCTGATACTATTCATTTTACCCTTTATTTTGTCCTTATCGTTAAAACTCAAAGTTTTCAAATTATTTTCATTAGTTTTCATTTAAAATTACCCCAAAAAACTTCATGATTCATTAAAAAAAAAAACAATTATTTCCTTTGGACACCAATAGAATTTTAAAACAAAAGTGGTAACTACAAACTGATTTGGATCAAACTTTAGCGTTGAGTCAAGCTAATCGCGTAGCCGCAATATGATTGGGTAGAGAGAAAGGGTGTCCAAAGAAAAATAAAATGGGTGACCTAAACAAAATAAGTAAATGAGGTGTCCACACAAAAAAATTGAGTGTACACAAAACCACTCCAATTAAATACCTAAGTTCGATCTTTCTTAATTTGCCATACAAATACAATACATCGGCCTCTGATGATCAAAGCTCCAGCCGGGAAAGTGAGTCCAGTAAGTAGCTTCTAGCTAGGCGTATGCAGCTCCTGTTGGATTCTCAACAATCGATCTTCAAAGCATGCTCCTCATATGTCATATATCCAGGTAAACCAGCTTCTTCCCAAAGGCATCTTATATATCTCCTTAGTTTCTGCATGAAGTTCTACTGCAAAATAAATTGTGAGTAAGAAAATCAATTCATAAATCCAATAATTAGTAATCTTTTTACCAAGAAAATAAATTTGAAGTTGTGGAATGAATAATTATAGGTAAGGAGCTCCCTTCAGTCCAAGACGTGACAGCAATAACCAACCTCTCGGCTCCTGCTTCGTTGGATCAGAAAAACACCACTTCTTTTAGCAAATGTATGATGAGTTTTTGAACCAACGAGTCAGCAGCTGAGTGCCAGCCCTTAAACTGCCAAGGACTGGACTGAAGAAGAGCTCCTTTCATATATATATATATAAACCCACCCACACGACATTATATATAAAACCCTAGGGATTAAATTAACGAAGCGAATACACGACCACATAATATAGGGTTTGCATGCATGCATTAATTACAAGCCGTTTTGATCAGCTAGAAGATGCATGCTTGTTCAATAAGTACTATACATAATCATATTTATATAATTTAGGGCTTATTGCCATAGATCGAAAAGAGAGAAATAACAGAGGGCACAGCTGAGAAAATGGTAAGGGACGAGAAAGGAAGAAGGAGGGCGAGGGTATATACAGCCATAAAAGGTGAAAACGCCGACATGCAGATCTAAAAAACAGTACTGATTGAGATTGAGGGCAGAGGTAAAGGGCACCAATTCATATCATGTTTGAAAATTTTCGAAGTCCTTTCAACTCAAACAGGACAACTTTATCTTAATTTTGGGAAAGACATCAGCTCCAAATCTCTTCTTCCAAAACCCACGGATTAAGTGATCTGAACTCTTAAAATTTGATTCAACGGTAAAAAATTATTTTAACTTTTAAAAGTTTTTATTAACTTCTCTATTTTTAACAGTTGGATCAAATTTCAAAGGTCCGGATCACTTGATCTGTAGGCTTTGGAGAAAAAGATTCGGAGAGGATCTCTTTCCCTAATTTTGGGAATTAGATCCGCTCCGGACCTTAGTTTCCGGAACCTAGGAATCAATTTATTTGGACCGCACAAATTCAATCCAATGGTCCCTATTAACTCATTTTTCTGGCCACCACACGAAACCAATGGCTCTGATTTCTTTTACATATCAATCAGCGGTCCATATGATTTGTTCCTCAGGCTCCGGACATTAACATCCGGAGCGGATCCAATTCCCTAATTTTGTACCATCTCTGCTGACCTAGCTAGCTGATTTTACATATCTCATCAGACAGCTGGATCGCTCACCACAAACACTTGTCTGATCAACTCTTATATCTCATGGCTCGCTGCCACAACTACACACATATGTACAGCTGAGATTAAATCTTAAATAAAAAAATTATACACTCTTTCAGTCTTTTTAGCATCTTAATCACTCCTATTTAATCTTATTTTTTCATTTGATTAATTTAATTTCATGATAAAACATTAAAAGAGGTGTGGGAAAAGTTAACAGTGTATGTGAAATTCATCTTTCAAATAAAAAATTGTTGCATATGCATACAAAACTACGACCATATCATCAAGGGTAATTTTATCTACACACTCATTTTTACTTTTCACTTATAATTTTAAATTTTTTGACCATCGTATCAAATGAATTGAAAATCAAAGGACAAAAATTATCAAGGAGTATGCAAAAGGTAAAAGAATGTATATATAGCATATATAAGAAAGAAAACTCTTAATATGCTAATCTCAATTAATGTTATGCAAACCCTAGAGTGTCATTTTGGGAACATGCAAGAGCACTTCTTAATTAACATGTTTTTGTTTCAGTGTAGAAAAGACAAAATAGATATAGGCCTATTGTATGCAATTTTTAAAAATAATTTGAACTATTCAGTAGTACGAAAAATGAACGGTCAAGATTGAATTAAAAAAATAACATTTCTGTTTACTTATCAATCTAATGGATATAAAGCCAGACTACCAAGTAATCCAGATTATTAAAGACTCATACCTCTATCGTGTGAATCATGTCTTCACCACATAAGATCTCTTATATATACCACTATTTTTTCCTTACTTTCTTTAGAACACAATAGTTCTATATGATAAAATACAAAGTTATTGCAGAGCCGTATCCTCGTGTTTTCCTCCAATAGCACGGAAACCTTGCTCAGAAGGGGCTCGATAACATGCATTCAGCACAATACCAATTGGTAATCCGCGAAGAGATCAGTTAATTAGTTAGTATAGACGTCTTAATTATCTTTACAATATATGGACTATTGTTGCAAAACGAAAAAACTCAAAGCTGATGATCATGCAGCATCAGAATACATGATTGATGACCTAATGTGTAATAGTATATATGCTCTTTTCGTACGCGTACAACTGTGGACAGAAGATATGGTTGATTCCTTTCCTCAATTCCCGGCTGAGGATGGCAGCCGTTAAATAGGAGAGAGAGATCCCAAAGGCTAGTTATTTTGAAACCAAAAAAGAAAAGGGCTGGTTCGCTCCAATCCCGAGTCCCCAACGAATGTAGTTCCTTTCCAACCATTTCTTTCCCTGGAGGGTAGAGGTAGGGCTAGCTACATGAACAAGTCACTTGGCTACGCGCAGAAAAGAGAGAATATTTGGAAACAAGTAACTGTTACGTGAGGTGGAGTTTCCAAGAAATAAGAGAGCGTACGTTTGGCAGATTGGGGAAGCTAATTGATGTTTCTGATGACTTGTAGTGTCTGCCAGTACTCTCTCAGTCTCACACACTCACGCTCGCTTACTGTGTGTTCTTTTTCTTTTCTTTCTGCATATAAATAGAACAAACATTCAGGGAATCTCAGTCCATATATATGTATGTGTGTCTCTGTGTCTCTGTGTGTATGTATATATCTAACGTACCACTCTACGACTTGTCATTTCACCTCGTTTTTCTTTAGAGTATGATTTTTCTCTTCTTATTTTTACTCTCCTTCCCTTCCCTCTTATTTGAACAAATACAGTTAAACCACGTTAATATTTTATATTATTATTTTTAAAATAAAAAAAATAAAAAAAAGAATATAAGATGAGGAGATGAAATGGGATGAAAAGAGGAGAAAGGGAAAAAATGTTAGTCTTTGTTCTATACCTTTCCCAGGCTTTTACCAGTGAATTAAGTTTTATTTCTATATCTTTTTAAAAGTGTTGCTTATAATTAATATATGATTACGATTTTTAGCAAAATTACTTGTATTATTTTTTTTGCGTTGTTGTGCATGCTAGGCTTCAACCCAAACCTTAGTTCAACCTAGCTAAATCGAACACAGAAGGAGAGTAAAAAAGATTACAATCCACAGTTACAGGCTTACAGCACAGAGAGCTAGTTTCTGGCTTAAGCTCAAACATTCCTAAAACAGACCCCAACTGATTCAAACAAATTACGACAATCAACCAATCAAAATATGACACTTGGACAAATGTACCTGTTAAGAGCTAAGGAATAGCAGTATGCCAGTATCCTATAGTATACTTGTTGGAAAAAAATTATGTTAACTTAAAGTGGGACAAGTCTTGAATGAATGCTATTTATGCGTGATTATTTGGGCATGAGTTTTAGGGTATTTATCATTCCCGTGAAGATGATTTGCTATTCACCTATTAAAGGTGAGGTTTGTCATATTAATTCGAGAATTTAGAGCGTGTTTAATTTGATCTCAACATGAGATGATAATGAATCACTCACCCACTTGATTTGTTTATCATAAAACCAATTACTTTAACGTTTTACTTAATACAAACCTACGCTACTAAACTTGGCAATATGATGTACTTATTTCAACGTAAAATCTTCTTTTTCATTACTTGTGTGTTAGTAAACGCGTAACATACAACATGTCATGAAATTGTCGACTAACCATATTTTTCTTAAGGAGTTGTCACTCTAATAAAAAATCATCACCCACTTTTCTATATACAAATTCTTTTTTATTTTTATAGATTTTAAAATGAGTGATGGTTTTGAAAAGTGTGTGAATATATAAACCTTCCATTGTTGCGGTGCAGTTTCAAATCGTTGCCAACCGATATGAAACAAAAATTAGTTGGTAAGGTATATAACCACTTTCGGGTACAACAGAAGCCAATAGCTGGTTTGCCCGAGAGGTTAAGGGGGAAGACTTAAGATCTTCTGCACATAAGTGCGCATGGGTTCGAACCCCATAGCCAGCACCAATTTAAAATTTTTTTAATTTTAATTTTCAATTAAATTTAGTATTTCAAAATCTACGGCCCATAACATAACAGTCCGCTTGAATAAAGCCCAAACCCAATTTGTAAAAGCCCAAAATACATTACGAAAAAATTATCAAAGTTCCCAGCCCGCCCTTCCTTCGATCAGCACCGCATAATCTCCAACCGCCAAAAAAAGAAGAAATAAAAAAAGAACCTCATACTTCCGAAGGACTCGACGACGACGACTCCTGTTTTTGTTCCTCTTTGTTTTCAGAAAAGAAAAGACAACTCATTTTCTCTCCTTCCGAAAAGGAATACTCACAAGTTGTAATTCAGTCTTATTTGGCTTCAAATTTTGTTGTCAAGGCATTCGCCGGCAAATCTTCCTCCGACAGCCTCAACCACCGCCGCCCCGTTGTCAAACCTGTCGTTCAGCCCTCTCCAATCTCATCATCTCTATCTGTAAGTCTCTTCTTCTCTCTCTCTGAGCACTGCAATTTCGTTGACATTTAGGTTAAATTCTGTGTGTACTGACTTACGCACTTTTCTTTCTGGGTTCGCTAAGTTTTGTGAAAATCCTCGAAACCCGTGTTCCATTTCGGTCGAATTTTGCTTGGCCACGTTGTAATTTAATCTGTCGGATAATGCACTTTGATTTTGTTACATGCATACGTTTGGTATGTTGTTCTGAATCAATGTCGTGGATTCTCAAATTTAGGTCTGGTTTTATTCATTTGAATCTGTGTTTGTCTAATTGCAGAGAGAAATATCACACTTGTTCTTCTGGTAATTAAAGGAAAGGTGTATCGGTATCTTATGGAATTGTAAAAACAAATTGGAGTATAGTGGGGATGTGATGAGTGCAATAGTTCCCTTGATGAAACTTTTGTCCCTCACGGTTATCGGGCTGGTTCTTTCGCACCCGAAAACTGAGTTGATACCCAGAGCTACTTTTAAGCTCCTCAGCAAGCTTGTTTTCGCCTTGTTCTTGCCCTGTCTAATCTTTACCGAGCTAGGTGGATCGATTACACTTGAAAACTTTATTAAGTGGTGGTTTATCCCATTTAATGTGTTGGTGAGTACGCTTATTGGTTGCTTCCTCGGGTATTTAGTGGTGATCATATGTAGTCCTCCCCCACAGTTGAACAGATTCACCATAATCATGACGGCGTTCGGGAATACTGGAAATCTCCCAGTTGCCATTGTTGGATCTGTCTGTCATACTCCGAAAAACCCATTTGGACAGCATTGTCACTCCCGAGGGGTGGCTTATGTCTCTTTTGCCCGATGGGTTGCTGTAATTCTTGTATATACCTTTGTTTACCACATGATGGAGCCTCCGTTGGAGTACTATGAGATAGTTGAAGAAGGGTGTGAAAAGGAGGAACCACTACCTAACGTTACGAGCAGGCCTCTACTTGTAGAAGCTGAATGGCCGGGTATTGAAGAAAAAGAAACCGAGCTTTCCAAGGCACCCTTTATTGCTAGGGTTTTCAAAAGCATCTCAAACGTTTCGCTCAACACTTTGCCAGATGTTGATCTCTCGGGAGAAGGTGGCCGAAACAGTCCCAGGTCGGCTAGGTGTTTGGCTGAACCTAGGGTGGTCAAGAGGATGAGAATCGTTGCCGAGCAAACTCCATTACAGCACATACTGCAACCTCCAACAATTGCCTCTTTATTGGCTATCACCATCGGGACAATGCCAATGTTAAAAGCTTTTTTCTTCGGAGATGATGCTCCACTGTCCTTCATCACAGACAGTTTAGAGATTTTAGCCGGTGCAGTGGTGCCTTCGGTGATGCTTATTCTTGGGGGTATGCTTGCAGAGGGGCCAAATGAGTCTACGCTTGGCCTCCGGACAACTGTTGGTATAACTGTGGCAAGGCTTTTACTGCTTCCTCTGGTGGGAATTGGTATAGTGGCGTTGGCCGATAAGCTCAATTTTCTGGTCGACGACGATGCAATGTACAAGTTTGTGCTCTTGATGCAGTACACGACACCGAGTGCAATTTTATTGGGAGCAATAGCCAGCTTGAGGGGTTACGCAGTTAGAGAGGCCTCGGCAATCCTCTTCTGGCAGCATGTGTTCGCTCTCTTCTCCCTTTCCTTGTACATTGCTATCTACTTTAAATTAGTCACATATGTCTGAGGTTTGAAGAAGATGGGTTTGTTTCTTAAACAAAAACCTCTGCAACTGGCGAAGGAAAGTGGCTTTTGGCCTTTGTTCTTTCATTTCTCAAAAGCCAGTGATGATTAATTGTCTAAAGCTTCATTAATACCAAAATCAGAGCTGTGAACAAGAATATTAGCACCCGAATTTCGCAGAACTACGTGTTAAAGGTGTATTTTTATGGTAGTTTATGATGATGTTTGGGAAAATGGAGTTAACATGGAGTGTCATGTTTACTTTTAAGGAATGAGAATCCAAGGTATCTGTATCGTTCCCATTATTCTCATTTCTGACCGATTCTCTATTTATTAATCCACAAGAAATGAATAAATTAGTTTGTCCTATGTTGAAAATATATAATCATTCCAAAATTTAACGATATATAATTACTAGTAAACAAAAAAAAAAAAAAAAAAAAAAAAGGTGACCTCCAGCCAACAATGCTCCCCACTTTGTAATGGTCGGGAAAGGAATGTATATTATACGGAACTTTATCCTTTTTACAAAGATATTGTTTTCATGACTCAAATCAGTGACCTTAATTATAAAAGAGCAACCTTTATGTTGTGCCAATCAACAAGATAATCATTATCCTTGGTTATTTCATATCACTCATTCCCAAAACTATTACACATGCTAGCATCAAAGTATATATAGTCGGTGATAGGTTATGAGCCCTGTAAAACTTGTTACATAGAGAATAAGTCATTAATTTATTTAATTGTCAAACTTCTTGTAATTAAATACACGTTAAAGTAATTAGTAGTACAGAGAAAATCAAGTGAATGATGTAAAATTAATGAGGATTGTACAATTAAATTTTTAAAATACCAATAATTTTAAGAGGAGTGTGCATTGTTGCGTTCTCAGGTTAGTCCTCCCCCTAGGTGAGAAGCATTCTTCCCCGCACCTTCATAGGTTGATCATTGACTGGAATATGTGATAAAATCCGTGCGACTTCGGTGGCTTTTGCTTAAGAAGACAATTTCAAGGCAAAAACAAATGTAACCCCCGATCTTTGGTGCACTTTGACCAAAACTTTCTTTTTTTTTTTGGTAAAAACCAAAACTTTCTTTTCGACGATGGAAATCGAAGAAATCCTGGACTTAAAAGTGAGACACGAGAGAAGGGAAAAGAATTTGAAACGAGAGAATCCTATTTAATTTTCTTGAAAAGAGACGTGAAAGGCAAATGGCCCACGGACAGATGAACGAACAAAACAAAGCGTAGAAGCCAATCAAACAAAAGAAAAAGCCAACAAATACCAAATTTACCAAATCACGAAGAGTTAATATTAGGAAAATTAAATTTTAAAAATTAAAAGACATAAAAGTTGATGATTGGTTTATTACTTAAACGTTAATTAAAGTGCTCAGTCTTATTAATGACACATCATTTAGTTTACAAATTTAATTTAAAAACTTAGTCTTCTTAACATAACCCAATTACAAATGCAATGCATGTACAGTTAACTGAGTTCCCAAGAAGATGCCCGGCACTCGCTTATGTCTTTTTCATGGACCACACACAGCAAATATCTTCGTCAAAAACTGCAACAAACAGCTTTTTTCCACTCGTCTACACAGACACCGCAAATATACAACATAATATTGTGAAACATTCATAGTAAATTCATGACATACAAATTTTATTACTCATCAACCTGTAACACGTGAGGTTTGGCAATGCAAAATCAAAAAATATTAAGAAAATGCTAAAGCGAGGAATATCTCAGTTGATAGAGTGTTGAGTTTCTATCGATGCATTCCGGTTTGAAATCCCCCTCCCTTGCATAAAATAATATAATAGTTTCGAATAATCCATTTTCGTTTAATAATAGTTCTTTTTAAAAAAAAAAGCATATGACGATTGCCTAATAATAAATATGTTTGAACAAACAATGTTGAAATCGTTGTTGGTGAAAATGTTTTGGAACCAATCCTTAATGAAAATGCAAGTGAATCTTGGAACCAATCATAAGTAAAACGCAAGCGAACCTTGAAAAAACACTTAAAACATTTTCTCTAAAAGCACTTTCAGTCATTCTAAAAATACTTCTAAACGTGTTGTGTATATGTTTTTTTTTGTAAAACGATAAATTTTGTTAGATTAGATGTTATATTAGTTACTAACGGGATTCGAATTCATAGTATGTAAGGCTCAACTCCTTTTCATTATTGTGGTAAAGGACTATTTGCTAAGAAATTTGGATCATTTAAGAAAATATTATATAATATAAATATATATAGGAAACTTTAATGAAAAGTTATCGGTACCGTTAACTTTAACGAAAAACTACATTTTTACACTAAAAAGTCAATCCTGTTACTATTCACTTTACCTTTTATTTTGTCTTTATCGTTAAAACTCAAAGTTTCAAGTATTTTTCATTAGTTTTCTTATATGGAATTTTAATGAAAAACACCCGGTATTGTTCACTTTAACGAAAAATCATATTTTAATACTAAAAAGTTAATTATAGGGTGACGGTGATATGGCGCCAAAAGAAAGAGAGGAAGGGAATCCGGGTGATGGGGAATATGCGGAGAATTGTAAATAAGAGGAAGCAAGGCAAATCACAATGGACCATGCAGCTGCAGCATGCGTTGTTTCCCATCCATCCCCCACCATGCCTTTTTTAATTTTTAATAAAATAATAAAAAAGAATAATAAAAAAGCATAAAAAGGGTTAATCTGATTCCATTCATATGGCATTTTATTCCTAGCCATTGATCTATTACCATATGCTCAATTTAATCCAAATACTCCACTCAAAGGGCATAACAAAATGGATGTCCTTTTCTCTAATTTCTTGTCATTCCTTACAATGCCATACTCGATGGATGATATCAAACGTCTTTTTCTTTTTTTTTTTTTTTTTTTTAAGTTTTGTGCTTTTGGATTTCTATAATGACTAAAAACATTTTCTAGAATTTGGAAAAAAAATTCAACTTTCAATCGCAGCGTGTTGGTAAAGTTCAGTGCTAAATTCTACACTTTTTCAATTGAAAACAAAAATAGGAAGGTAAAGTTGTTAGTCGTTTGTTGTTACTAGTCCATTCAAAATGTCAAATTCAACTTAACGAATGTTGTTAATTGTTGAGTAGCTAAACAATCCAATATATACACCAAATACCCTTTCAATTGAAATTGCATTTTGGCTTAATTTCAACCAAATGCAACTTCTTTTGCCCATTTTTCTCAAAAACAATAAATTTAACTAACAATTAAAGTTAAACCCAAAAGCCTATCTCAGAATCTAACCAAAAACAACTCTTTTTTTAATAATTTTTTTTAGTACATCAATATTCTTTACACTAAAGGGAGAGGAAGTTTGGCTAAGCCACACAATAGACAATTTAATTTAGTATCGAATTCACTATCAACGAGATTCGAACATAAAACGTTTTACTTGTAATAGGAATATCATTACTGAGTGGCAATCTATTTCAATACATATAAAATAAAAAGTAATTTTCTTTTAATCAGAAAAAAGAAAAGAAAGGAGTACTTGAAAGAAGTGCCCCCGCAGGGATACGAGAGTTTTTTCAATATGACCGGTACACATAATGAGATATCACGTGTCAGTATATAAATAATATGATATATGTGTTAGAAATTTAATAACTTAAAAAATAAAAAATTTCATCACTTATATAAAAACATGTAATATTCTTTTCGTGTTCCGGTCACAATAGGAAATTTCTCCAGAGTAGGGTTCCATCATTCCTAGAAAATCTTTTCCCACCACGCGTAAATAGTACCCCCAATCTCCTCCAATTTCAATTTTCAAAGCAGATTTTTTAAAACCACCCAACAATTTCCCATCTCCCACCACGTTCATTGTTCCCCTATAAATACAACTCCTTCCCCAACTCCGCCTCCTCACAAACCCTATCTCCTCCTCCTCCTCTTCTCTCTGACCTTTGGCCCCAAATGCTGACCGCCACACATTCCTAGATACAAAATCCCTAACTCTGCTCCCATTTTTGGTCTCCCCAAATGCTTGAATATCTCAAAAGATAGCATTTTTTATTCGTTTTATTAAATCCAAATTCTGTGTTTTGATTTTCTCTATATTTTAGGATAGCCCAGTAATAGTTTCTTTTTGTTGCCCCCATTTTTATATTGGGTTCTTCACAATCCGGCCATGGAAGCTGGGATTTTGTTGCCTCCGCCGACCTCCTCCTCCCCTCTATCACCTCCTACATCGTCTGTGATTCTAACCCAGGACGAGTTGAAGAAAATCGCCGCCTACAAGGCCGTCGAGTATGTTGAGTCCGGCATGGTCCTCGGTCTCGGCACCGGCTCCACCGCCAAGCACGCCGTCAACGAATCGGCGAGCTTTTGAAACAGGGGAAGCTTCAGAACATTGTAGGAATACCCACGTCGAAAATGACCCACGAGCAAGCCCTGTCTCTTGGAATTCCGTTGTCGGACCTCGATTCGCACCCTGTTCTTGATCTCGCGATCGACGGCGCCGACGAGGTCGATCCCCACCTCAATTTGGTCAAGGGCCGAGGTGGATCCCTCTTGAGGGAGAAGATGGTGGAGGGTGCTTGTAAGAAATTCGTCTGCATCGTCGACGAGTCGAAGCTCGTGAAGCATTTGGGAGGCAGCGGGCTGGCGATGCCGGTGGAGATTGTGCCATTCTGCTGGAAATTCACTGCTAAAAAGCTCCAGGATTTGTTTGAGTACGCGGGTTGCGTCGGAAAGCTGAGGACTTTCGTCGAAAATGGCAAGCCTTTTGTGACGGACAATGGGAATTACATTGTGGATTTGTATTTCCAGAAAGATATTGGGGATTTGAAGGCGGCCAGCGATGCGATTTTGCAGCTTGCCGGAGTTGTGGAGCATGGGATGTTCCTGGACATGGCAACCACTGTGATTGTTGCAGGGGAGCTCGGAATAACGGTGAAGAATAAGTAGCCTGAAAGTCGAATTCGGAGGTAGTTGGAGATGGGTTTCTAACTTGTTACTGGTAGGAGTAATTTATATAGTCTTGGTTTCCAATCGAAATGTCGAAGTTCGATTGGGGTTTATTGTAACCGGTGAAGTTTTCTTCTCCTAGAGTTAACTTATACTATTTTTTGGGGGACGGTCTACTGACGTTCTGAATTTATCTTTGATTCAATTGAGCAAGAAATATTAGAACGTTTGGATTCTTGGTTTATTGTTCGATGATCGTTGTTATGTTGTTTTGATATAAATTCATCCTCGTTATTAATGGAAATCTCTCACATTTTACAAATAGACATCTGTGGATTGATTTGGGAGTTAATTTTTAACCATCGGCACTCCAAACAAGTGATTTAGTCATTAAAAAGGTGTTCTTTATTGGTGCGGAGAACCCATGGACAGGAAGATATCGTCTTCAATTGGAGGAGTAACGGGGCGTCCAAAGTTCAGCGGCG